GCCAAGCCTTTGTCACAGTCTCCAGCAACCATTCCTCCGGCCATCTGCTCCTCCAGATGCTCAGCCTGTCCTCACCTCCCATCTCAGCCCCACATGTAGCCCTTCCATGGATGAGTGAGGGGCCGGCAAGCCAGCAGCCTCCAGCCTGACTACGCCATCTGCCTCCCATCCCCACGTATGTGTCCGGCTTTGCTTTTAACCCAGATTCCGCACCCCCCATCCCCAGCTTGTTTGCCCCCACCAATCCGGTAATTTCCACGGAAAGGATGCTGCCTAGAAAAGATGGACAAGTTACCATGGAGATTTGAATATACACAGGAAGCCATGGATCCACCTCACAGCCAGAAGTACAAATGAGTTTGACATAAGTTTAGTTCAGCCCTGAGGTTTAGTTGGTTTGCGTTGCAGTCCTTTCCTTTGGAAGTCAGTGTCTTAGAGGGAATTTTAAAGCCAAGTGTTGCCATAGCTGAGTGTTGTCATGACATTCCCCATCCCATCTCAGTCTCTTGGATCACAGGCAACCTACTCGGAGCAACTGGAGGTCTGCCCCAGTTCTGTGCTCTGAGTGTCCTAAGGGGCTTGCTATATCCAGACCAAAGTCTAACACCTGACCTTGCACCTGAAGGATGGGTACATTCACATTCACATTCACAGGGAGAGAAACTGCCCTGACCCACCCCTCTGTCATGTACCGTAGAGACCATGTGGAGAGCTAGTCACCCCCGCCTGAGAACAGAGTGATTCTAATGTGCCCCACCTCCCATTCTTTCTTTCTTCTGGATTTCACGAGTGTCAGGGGAGGAAGCTTGGAATTGATGGCTACATCTTGCCTGTCTGTGGCCAGGGGCACAGGAGGCTCCTCCTGACTCTCCAGGTCATGCCAGATGGTGGGCAAGGGTAGGGGGGTCATAGGGGTGGAATACTGTGAAGGAATATTCCCTGCCCTGGGATGCATTTCTCTGGGTCCCAGAGGAAAGGGGGCATATTTTTGGCATTACTTCTAATGCCCCATAGACCAAGTGAGAACTCTGCTTTGTAATGAATGTGGAGAACAATTCACCCTTCCTCAACAGGGCTCTGCTGGCGTTTTGGGCAGGTCCTGCCGATCGCATTGTGCTTATTATCCCTTGCCCCTCTCCACTAAAAGCCTTGCAGTCATTGAGACAACCAAAAATGCCCAGCGACTCTTCAAACATCTCCTGGGGAACACTGCCACTCCCAGTTTTTTGCTTCCAGGAAATCAGATTGCAACAGACTAACCTATACTCTGAGAAGAGACCAGGACCAGACAGAGCTCTCTTTTGTCCTAATTAATTCATATTCATGCAAATAAAATTCTATTTGTCTATTGCCTTGGCTTATCAACTTGGCAATTTTCTTTGTCATACCTGATGGCTTTTCAGTGTCTTCTGATATTCCCCCATTTTGTTTACAATTCTTCAACATGCGTTCTCTTGTCGAGGGAGTTTTCAAGTACCTAGGCCATGAGGATGGGTGACTAATACATGAGGCATGCCTCCCACCCATGAGAGGCCTGCATCCTGGTGATGAAGGACCACAGAGTCATTGCTATAGGACTACAGAAAAGAGAGTGTAAGGGAAACAGCCTTTAAGTGGAGGCTTTGGCCCTGTGGCCCTGGAGATTCTGGAAGTTAGACTTAACTGCTGTAGCTGGCTGGTCCAAGGGAATAGACCCTCTGGTTCTGTCCATATGACTTGTTTCTTCCTGGGAACTTACCGCTAGAGCTCCTATAAACCAATGGCTGAGTCAGCGGGTTCTCAAGGTGGAAAGAGATCCCTGATGTCAAAAGTGCCACCTTCCAAAGTCTACAGAGAATGCAAAGAAGAGAGATGGATTTTAGCTGAGACTCCTGTCCCCTTTGCTGTTAGTTGCTACTCTCCTGTGGATGAACCAGACAGACCCTCCTTTTCCTTCTCTGTGGCTCATCATTCTTTTTCCCCCCTGTTTCACCATGAAAAGGAGCAATGCTCTGTTCATTTTGCTGCTTATTGGTGTGGCTAGTTTTGTCAGAGGATGAGACTGTTGGTTAAAATTGGGCTTTTGGATTCTTGATCGTCATCTATTTTGTCTCCCACCCACTCACCCAGGGGTATAATCAGGAATTGCCTACGGGCATCTTGATTTCTCCTTTAAATCCTTCAAGTTTGATTCTAACAGCCTGTGCCTTGAACATTCTTGCTTATTTAATTTTTTTAAAACTTCTAAATTTTTTAAAAACATTTCTAAAAATTGAATTATAATCATTCGTTTCAGATTTTAGCTGCCCCCCTTCCTGTCTCTGAGATCAGCAGCTCCTTCACAGTTGGTATGATTTTGACTTTTTTTTTTCCTAAGTAGATAAAGGAATTTATGGAACTGTGTATCTTAGATATGGGGGTAATCACAGAATCAAAGGGAGATCTGTAGGAGCTGGGACCTCAGGGCTGGACAGAGGAGCCCTATGCCTCCGGGACACGGTCTCCTTTCTCACCTCCCTCACCCCTCAGCTCTTCCTCCTGTGTCCAATCCTTTCCCTGCTCCAAGGAACAGCTCCACAGCCCTATTTAGCATCTCCGTGCAAGCAGGGCTCTCTGTACCCCTCTGTTGATTATTTAATAATTGTAATCACCTCCCACAAAAGAAGAACCACTTAGCTTAACAAGCTTTGTGCACTCTTGGTAGTTGATGTTAACAAGAGAAAGATCACACAGGGCCTTTGTGTTCCCTTCTCAGGATGTAAGGCTGGGGGAGACTGATGGGGTTAGAACAGAAGTGGTGGAGTGTCAGACTCAGCAAATCCCTTAGGAATCAAATGTGTTATTAGTAGCCACAGTGTCTGGAGATAATTACATGGACGCATTTATGTCAATTAAGACAGTTCATATTTTCTTAATCTATTCTAGATTTTCCTCCGTCTCCCAGCTTCCTCTCACCCTGCCTCCCTAGTTACTGCTAATTGAGTCAGTAATACGCAGAAAAATATCCTCCTCTGCTTTAGAATGCAGAAAGTGGTAGATTAATGTCCCCTTATTCTCAGAGGTGAAGGGTGCTGAATAATAAGCCTGCTCCTTCCCCATTTCTCTCTCATTTACAGTTTTCACACCATGTAGTTATCACGTACCAGGTCTTGTCTGACAGTGTCCTCGTGTACGTGCCTGTGGCCTCCTAGAGCAGGGATGAGACTAGAGGTCATCCTGCCTGGTGGCCTCTAAGTGGGGACACATCCACATCACTGGAGAGCATTCCAGAACAATCGTGATCAGGTAGACATCTCACTGTCCACCGCACAGCTCAGTGAGCAGGCCACGCTTATGTCAGGCAGCAGTAAAGCACATTCCAAAGTGATGACGGAGAGAGCCATGGATGGGGAGACCAAAGGTAGCAGCCAGATCTGAGCGTTAAGAACAGACCCCTGGGGCTGGCAGGAGAGAACAGGAGGCGTCAGAAATTCGTTTCTCTAGATCAAGAGGACAATGACCATGACTTCCAAAGCCGTCACAGGAGATTCACAGCAGGGTTGCCATAATAAATAAGCCCTCTTGCTGAAGACTCGCCCTCCAATTTAGTCCTTTTTGCCTGTCATGCATTGCATTGGCTGCTGCCACTGAGTCATTCAGAGTTCTGTTTGTAATTGGAACACAGCTGAAATTAGGGTGCATGTGACCCTAGACATCTCTGGGTTTCTGGAGAATATTCAGAAAATATCACCAGACCCTTTGTTCCCTCTTTCTGTGTGTCTGTGGATTAGGTGGAGGTGCTTATCAGAAACCCTGGGGCCCTGCATGTCCAGCTGCTGTGCTGTACCTGGTTCTCATTCTGAACACACAGTCCCTTGGGGCAGTTGCCGTACATGTGCTGATGGGGCTCACACACTCCAGACACAGCACAGCAACCTCACGTGGGAGGGGCTTCCAGAACAGCTAGTGCTGAAGAATAAAGCCTTTGTTTGCTTTACGAAATCCCTAAGGAAATCTTAAAAGGACAAGTAGTAGTACAGTGAAGAGCTAGGAAGGACGAGTGGAATTCTTTATTGTGATGCCGTAAAATGTCCCTCCAGCCTTGAGTATTTCAGGCACGCTGATGTGCTTCATCTTCATTGCCACTGTGTACCGTGGGTGAAGTATGGGCCTGAGCTCCGATTCCAGCAGTGGGCTCGGCTCACACTGATTGTCCTACACCCTTGTTATGAGATTGCTCTTGTTAGTATGTCAGGTTTAGGGGGTTGTTGGCTGGCTTCCCGGGATCAATGTAACTGGCCCAGAGGATCGTGCTGATCTTGACCTAATTCCATGGAGCTGTGTATACTAGTTATCATGAACAGCAGTTTAATGTTCTTGCACCTATAGATTTCTATGCAGAAAACAAGTGGAGGTGGGAGGGCTCCTAAATCCTAACTGGCTTCAATGCTTGTATTCCACATGTCAGAGGGAAGCCCTTGCATTTTGTTCCATCTCAAAGAGACAACTCGAGGTATGTCACTTCTTTCCTTAGACTAGAATGAACATGTTTCAGGAATAGAGTTTTGTTTTGCTTTGTTTTGAGACAGGATCTTGCACTGTCACCCAGACTGGAGTCCTGTGGTGTGATCATGGCTCACTGCAGCCTCAAACTCCGGGGCTCAAGCAATCCTCCCACCTTAGCCTCCTGAGTAGCTGGGACTACAGGTGCGCACCATTGTGCCCGGCTAATTTTTAAAGTTTTTTTTTTTTTTTTTTTTTTTTTTTTTTTGTAGAGAGAGGATATCACTGTATTGCCTAGGCTGGTCTTGAACTCCTGGGCTCAAGTGATCCTCCCACTTTGGCCTCCCAATGTGTGAGATTATAGGCATGAGCCATCATGCCCAGGCAGGAATTGAAGTTTTGAGAGCTGTTTAAATAATGACCTGGTTCCGACTCTGTGGGGAGGCATCCTGGGCTGGTGACAGAGAAAGCTGGATGACATCTTAGCCCCATTTTTTCCACCCTTGTCATGAGACGCCTTCTTGCCGTTTTCCCCGTAGGCCCGATACCTCTCCGCACAAGCTCGCCATCGATTTCACGCTGCCCTTGCGTCTTGTTCCACCTCGATGCTGATCCTGTCCAACCTGGTGTTTCTTGGGGGTAATGAGGTTGGGAAAACCTACTGGAATAGAATCTTCATGCAAGGTAAGTTACTTGACAGTGCTGTTTTCATTCAGTTTCTTGTTTTCCATGTATGCGGATGGGATCACACATAAGATTCGGGGGAAGTCATTCATTGTTATATTCATGGTATGTGACCTCTAAGTACCAGCCAGGAACAATTTCCTGTGTTTATCCATGATTTTAAATGTCCCCTGTTATTTACGTACCCCATATCTCCTGTATGTGATACTTGTTTAACACCAAAAGGTACTATCCAAACTTTCCCAAAGTATATATTCCCTTCCATTACACTATGTTTCCGATTATTTGATATTTCTCAATCTTTCCTCCTGCTGTGGTTGAATATCTGCTTCAAAACTCAAGTTGACACTTAGTCCCCAGTTGGCAGTATTGAGAGATGAGGCCTTTAAGAGGTGATTGGATCATGGGGGGTCTGCCCTCATGAGTGGATTGACCCATTCATGGATTAATGGGTTGTTAAGGAAGTGGGACTGGTGACTTGACAAGAAGAGGAAGAAAGGCCTGAGCTAGGACACTCAGCCTCCTCACCTGTGATGCCCTGTGCTACCTTGGGACTCTGCAGAGAGTTCCCACCGGCAAGAAGGTGTTCACCAGATGCAGCCCCCTCGACCTTGGACTTCTTAGCTTCCATAATTGTAAGAAATAAATTCCACTTCTTTATAAATTATCCAGTTTTAGATATACTGTTATAATCAACAGACCACAAAGACACCTACTGTCTATGGATCTTAGTGTGCAAAAATACTGCAAAAATCTAACCTTGTTTTGTTTATTGCTCCGAACATCCTACTAGAAATCTGCCCTAGAAGCTTCCTTGTGCTGCCCTGAAGCAGTGGGCTGTGGGCATGGCATCTATGTTTGCCACAGCTTGTGGGTATTTTTGTGTGAACACTAGGGGCCAACCTTATGTTTAACATACATTAAATAGGTAATCTGAATATCCATAGCAAAGCCACACCTGCAGCAGGTAAACTGCTACTATGTGGGAGTTGTCAAAATATTCTATTAATATTTGATCATCATGTATTTATGGCCACCATTTCCCTTGGGCTGGGACTGAGTTACATCATGTCTATAAGAGAACTGGGAGATTTGGAACTATTCACAGTAGATACTACTATAGCCAACTCATTATGTCTTAAAAGCGAAGATCCCTGTTCTGTTCCTTGCCTGTATTACTGTTTTCTGCTTCTGCTTTGGGAAACTTTGCCAAGTGGTGATGACATAACTGTGCACAGCTGGCCTGTCTCTTCACATCTGGGTCCCTGAGGAGCCAGCGATGCCTTTGCTGCAGCTCTTTTCACACCAGAAATAACAGCAACACAGCTGCAGTATTCCAGAATGGCAGACCGTGGGCCTAAACTGTAGCAGGCTTGGGTGAGCCAGCCTCGGAGGGCTAAGAGAGAGTCCTGTTCCACTTTCATCTTGTCACAAAAAAAACCCCTCTTTGATCTTGCTTTCTGTAAGATGCTTTAGCTGATAGTTCCTGAAAAGACCATGTACTTTCTAAGTGGAAGCTTTCCTTTAATAGAGATGAGGGATAATGGGGTGCAAAGAATCTGTAAGTACAGATGGGTTACAGCATCCTTTACTTTTCTCGGGTCCTCTCACAGAACCTAGCACAATGATAAGATGGTTGTGACTTGGGGGAAGGAGCTGACTTGGAGCTTGCTTCTCACACAGTGAGAAGGCTCTGATTTTCACTTCCCTAAATAAAATGCATTGGGTGTTTGCTACTTGCAAGGCACTGAGGACACAGAAATGAAAAATTGTGAGTGGCAAACACAGAAACAAAAATGTGCAGTAGATTGAGGGAATTGCTCTGCTGGATGTATGAGTGAATTCCTGGAGGTCACAGGATGGAGTAGCCGACTTTCCACAGAAGATGGATTTTTTCAGAAGAGGTGGTGTTTGAATTGAAGCAATAATTTTGGAATTTGCTAGGTAGAAGAGGCAGGAATATTAGGGAAATTAACACTGGCTGCTTTGTCTGAAACTCCAAAATCTCGGTAATTTCTCACCATAGAAGTTTGTTTCTCTGACAGTTCAATACAAACTCAGTGGCTTTTTCTAAGCCGTGACTTCAGGACCTACAATGTTTGTTTAGATTCTTCACTGTCTTGTCCTGGCATCATGGAGGGGAAGAGAACACGGGGCTGGTGTACCAGGTGCTAAAACACATGACATTTTCTGCTTACATGTCATTGGCCAGAGCCTCCAGTCACATGACCAACCCAAGTACAAGGCAGGGGCATGCAGGGAAGCATGCAGATATCAGAAGCATGCAGATATCAATGTGTACCAGCTGTCTGTGGCACAGCAGGAGAGGCACATGGGCCTGGCCAGAAATGCCCAAGAGGCAGTTGGAAATCTGAGTTGAAGTTGCAGAAGACAGTGACCCAGTGATTGAAATGTAGGGGTCAAGGGCATAAAGGTTGTATGTGAGGCCAGGGGAGGAGATACAATTAGCCACAAAGCTGTATAGAGTGAGAAGAGAACAGGGTGGGGGAAAACCCAGGGAATGCTGGCATTGAAGCAGGCAGAAAGAAAGGCAGGAAGGTCAAAGCGTGACTTGCCCAACATCCTGTGAACTTAACCTCAGTCACATGGGATCAGGGCTCTGAAAACCTGGTCTGCTGCTGCCATATGGGTCCTGCTGTGGTCTATGACTGAACACACCATTTGTGTCCTCCTTGGACTCAACTGCCACAGCCCTGGGGACTCTGGTTCTCTAAATGTGGAGGGCTCTGTGGAATCATCTCTCTTCTGGGTTCTGAGGCCGGAGAAGCTCAGCTTAGAAGGCATTTTCTGTGTCAGTGATTATCTAAATGACCCTGTTTGCAACTCAGCTGGTCTGTCCCATGGGCCTCCTGAGTCAGAGAATGTCTTCTGGAGTTTTGTTACTCCTTCATCTATTCCTTGTCATGGGTTTTTGTCCCTGAAGGATTGGGTTTGGATATCTCTTGGAGGAAAGTGAACCAGATGGTGCCCAGTCTCCCATCCTGGTGAACTCTGGATTTCATTTCATAGCTAATTTGACTTGATAGAAGATTAATATGAATATTCATGTTTTGGTGAAAAAAAATTAATGAGTCTATAGGATGCTCCCTCAGTCTCTGCTTAGTGTGTTAATATATGAGCTTTCTAAAATTAAAAAAAAAATCTGAATTCTGAAACTCATCTGGTCCCAAAAATTTGAGTTAAGGGATTGTCAAACTGCATATGGAGTTGCTGACAAATGAGCAGCCTTTCACAGCCTCATAGTCTCTGGCATCTTCCCTGGGACACATGATCAGTTCCTGTTGCTCCAGAGCCCATCTTTACACACTGAGGAAATACAGTGAAGTGAGTGAGAATGCTGGCTGCAGGGATGGAGAGCATTTAAGCTCACTATGTAGATTTCCAGGTTTAAGGGAAAGTTGGCCCTGCCCTTTGCACCTTGATGGGTTGGGGCCTGCTGTAGTGACGGGGAGGAACCGCTGACACCGCATCCCTCTAACATGTCTCGCCTCAGAGTCCTGGAGGGTAACGAGGAGATGGGGACTGTGGAGGAGATTTGCAAATGCCTCACAGCTGATAGGGTGTGGGATACACATGTGTCTTAAAAGATGCACCTCGCTGTTTCCCGGGGAACCCTCCCCTGGCATCACTGGCATTCCTAGAAGTTATCTGATGATTCGCCTGGAAAAGTTATCTTAAAGTTGGTACCTTTCTGTCTCCAGTTGGCTCTAAACTACAAAGTTTATTTTAGTGATTTCCACTAAAATGCCTGTACTGACCTCTCTGGGTCACATGGGTGATATGTGGCTGTAAAACCAGACCCTTCCCTTTCTGCCATGTACCTGCCCTGCGGTCTGGGGCATGGAAGGCAGAGTCTGAAGGCCAGGGATAGAAATGCTCAGTGGCAAATCTAGGGCTCTGGGAATGGTCATGCACAAAATACTTTTGCTCAAGAAATGTTATGTCTGCTGCTGAGGTTGGAGAAGGCAGTGTTCAATTTATTCAGCAGAGAATAAGGAATCTATGTTTCTGCTTAAAAAAAAAAACCTCCGAATTCTTACTATTGAAGTTTGCTTCAAGCTCTTTGAGGAATATGCATGCTTAGGCCCCACAAACTTTATTTAAAAGACTTAGCTGGTCCACAGGTCTGAGAAGGATATGGCTGGGGATTTGGTCCACATGCTGTTCTAGGATGGACTCTGCTGTGTTATGCTTTGCAGAGACCAATGCAGGTTGCTTTCTACAAGCCCTTTGGTGCTCAAAAGCTTTGTTAATAGGAGAAGGTTTCTCATGTCTACCATAAATCTTTAACATTGAAGCAGAATTTCTTCAACAAGCAACAGAATAGAGCTCTGTAATTCAAAGATATCAGTGAGCTGTAACTCCAGATCAGCAAGGCCAGTCCCCATAAACCAGCTGTGGCCAGGGCATCTTGGCAGTGCTCTCTCCACCGTCCTGGGGTAATGAGGAGAAAAGATATTCAAGGGCGTGTTTATACACTGGGAATATATCTTGCCTTGAGAGGGCCGAGAGCCTTATAATGTTTGTATGGGTGCAGCATGGCGCTTCTGAAAAGTCTGTCTGCTTTTGTACAGGGAAGGCATGGACTTTTGTTAAAAAAAAAAAAAAACAAAACAAAAAACACATTTCCCAAGAAGTGGGGCCCTGGATCACTGGGGTGACCACACACACACACACACACCCTGTGCACACATGCACGCATATACACATGGATGTTTTGTTTTTCCTTCTATTATCTGGTCTATTTTAACACTTAGCTCCTGGAGTGACCCCATGCCAAGGCAAGGAGAATTTGGTTCTTTTTCCCTCCAGATTGCAATGAGAGAGGAGCTGGTAATTTTCTTACGCAGGTCCCCATATTGGCTTGCTATTTCTAGCTGAGAGAAGATAAAGTGTATTTTCTCCCTGATTACTAGCTTGTCTGAGTAGTTTATTTGTCTCTTGACTCAAATGGTTCTGGACAGGCATTTTATTTAAAG